AAGCAAGAAGTCTAACCGGCCTTGGGCTCCTTTGGCGGTGCAGATAAACTTCCCGTGCTTTCCTCTTGGTGACGTGCTAAGCAAGAAGTCTAACCGGCCTTGGGCTGTCTTGGACTTGGTGGATTCACAATGAGGTTGGGCTCCTCAACCGGGGTTGGGCTTTAATACATAAATTGGACTACTTGGACTTAACCCATCAGTCTTCTCTCCTTGTTCGATCAAAGATTAAAAGTAGACTTATTTACCACACTTCAAAAAATATTGTAATTTAGTAATTTTATTTCAAATTGTTGTTGATCGGTACTTAATTCACCATAGCCATTAAAGAGGGTGTTGTCTATTGGTGTTGCTCACTTCTTCAAGTACTCAATTGCTTCGAGCACCCCACCATCAAGAAGATGATATTAAAGGAAATGATACTCATCAACAAGAGTCACTCTTGACTTTGACTTCAGAAGTCGATGCCTGTTTTGAAGCTCGACCAGTACGAAAGATTGTTTTTTCTTCAGAAACACTTTATTGCAGAAGCATTGGAGAAGCCATGGGAACACCCACTACTGTTCTTGTGGTTTTATTTTCTATTCTTCTCATCCAAGTACTTGAGTTCAGTTATAGCATAGCAAGTCACTCCAATGTAAGATGCATTGAGATTGAGGAAAAAGGTCTTGTCAAGTTCAGAGAAAATCTCACTGATGAATCAAATCGATTGTCGTCGTGAGTCAGAGAAGACTGATGTACATGGAAGGGAGTTGTTTGCAGCAACAAAACAGGTCATGTCCTGAGACTTAATCTTCACAATCCATTTGATGATTTGACAAATTTCAGCAAAACCTGCTTGGGAGGTGGGATTAATCCTTCTTTATTCAATTTGAAGCATTTGAGTCACTTGGACTTGAGCATGGACAACTTTTCAGGAACCCAAATTCCAAAATTCTTAGGCTCACTTCAAAATTTGAGGTATCTTAATCTCCAATTCGGGTTTCCAAGGAAACATTCCACATCATCTAGGAAATCTCACGAGCTTGCGTTGCCTTGACCTTGGTGATTATTTGCACTATGCATTGACAGTTGATACTCTGTTGTGGGTGTCTAAGCTTTCCTCTTTGAAACACTTGGACATATCTGAGGTCTCCATTGAGGAAGCTACAGATTAGTTACAACCAATTAACATGCTTTCTTCCTTGTCAGTATTGAAGTTAGCTGGTTGCCAACTTTATACTATTCCCCCTCTCGTATATTAATTTCACTTCTCTCTCTTCACTTGACCTCCAATCTAACAGTTTTGATTCCACCATCCCTCTCTGGTTGTCTAACATTCCTGGGCTTTTGCGTCTCCATCTTGATGATAATCGATTTCAGGGGCCAATTCCTGATACTCTTGGAAGGTTATACTCTCTCACTCACATTGGTCTTTCTGATAACTCCTTTAACACTTCAATGCCTAGTTCATTGGGAAACTTGAGCAGTCTTGTTCATTTAGACCTCTCTGTCAATGAGTTTCAAGGAAGTTTACAAACCACAATAAAGAATCTATGCAGGTTACGCGTGTTAGATTTGTCAAAAAATAGTTTTAGTGATGAGATTCCAAGAGCTGAAAGAGGTCCATTTGGTTGCCATAAGAATTTAGAGAGCCTTCTTCTTTCTTCGAACTCATTTCACGTTCCAATCCACATGTCAATTGGAAGACTATCGCGTTTGAGAGAGTTAGATGTTAGTAAAAATCTGTTGAATGGGAGCATTCCCTCGATTCTTGGACAACTTTCAAAGCTAGAAATGTTAGATGTTTCTGCCAATCATTTGGCAGGAATGGTATATGAATATCACTTCACTAAACTCACCAAGTTGAATAGATTGTCCATGTCCTTCCACTTCCTAGCTTTAAATGTGAGCTCCCAATGGATTCCTCCTTTCCAACTCCAAGCCATTAAATTGGCATCCTACAATCTAGGGCCTCTATTTTCTTCATGGCTTCAAACACAGACACACGTGATATTGTTGTTCATGTCCAATGCGAGCGTCTCAGATACCATACCTGATTGGTTTGAGAACGTATATTCACGTATCCCCTACTTGGATCTGTCCATGAACCGAATCAGTGGAAAACTGCCAAAATTTGTAGCATCGTAGAACTCCATTTGGATAGCCTTCAAGGCATTATTGGTGAGAGAGTATATGAGACGGCTACATATTACAAAGAATATATTATAGAATCTATAAGAGAAATAGAACGTCCATATACCGCAACAATCCAATTTCTTAAATCGATAGACCTTTCCAAACAATAATATAGATGAAGAGATTCCAGAAGAGTTGATGATCTCTTGGGGTTATGGAAGTTGAATTTAGCTGGAAATCATCTTGAAGGAAGGATTCTTGAGACAATTGAAAATTTGAAGAGATTGGAATCACTTGATCTATCTAAAAACGAACTTTCCGGTTCAATTCCTTCAGGTTTGTCCGATTTAAACTTTCTAAGCAACTTAAATTTGTCATTCAACAACTTATCAGGGCGAATACCAAAGGGAAATCAACTCCAGACCCTGGATGATCAATCCATTTATATGGGCAACAGTGAGCTTTGTGGGGCACCACTCCTAAAGAGTTGCCCGGGGGATTAACCAGTTGAGGATCATGATCAACAAGTTGAGGATAATGGTCAAGATTGTTCCGAAATTTTTTGGTTGTATGCTAGCATTGGACCTGGTTTCTTTGTTGGATTCTGGGGGGTTTGTTGTACCTTGCGTTTTAAAAAATCTTGGAGGTATGCATACTTTGGGCTCGTCGAGAATGTCTACAACAGGTTACTTTTAGCAAGAGCATTCACTGCTGCTAGGCTGCGAAGGAAGTTCCGCAAAGGTGAATGTGGAGTATGAACGTCATCTCTATGAAATGGTTACTCTCTCTCTCATATCTATGTACGAATTTAAAATTGGTCAAAGTTAAAAAACTAATGGCCAAAACATATTGATTTATTTAGGATGAAAAGTTTGTTAGAAAAATATAAAAAAATTAATGTAATGTAAGGACTAAATTATCCTTATCATATATATATTTAACGAAGAAAATGGTATATAGGCAAAATAGAAAAAATAAGGCAACTTTCACGCGGAAAAAAAATTCTGCACAATTTATGGGAAACCAAAATAGATGATTGCAGAAAAATTTGACACTTGAGGGAAAAAAATTTCTCGAGAAATTATACTTCTAGATAATCAAATGAATTTTTTTTTTTCATTTTTTTACACTTCCCAGTATTTTAAAACTAACCAAACGAAGCGTGAGGATTTGCGATTTACGCTTACTAGAGCCAATGCATGGATGCAAAAAAACATCGCGGATACAGCAAAATCATACTATTAATCCCATCATAATAAAGCCTTCCTGATACAATCAAGGGATTTTTCTATCCCAGCCAATTCACACCTTTCTTAGCCGAATCCATTGATATCCCAGGCATCCCTTGTTTGGATATATAATTGGGTTTTTCGGAGGTTGGTACACCAAACAACACTTCTTATTAAATAAGTCTTTAATGAAAAATATTTTGAGAAAAAGTACTTTGGTGATAGTGAAAAAGCTCAATACCTTTTTATTATACACCAGTTTCCCAAAACAGTTTTGGAAGACTATAAAAGAAAAAAAATTATTTTCTTTTTTTTTAGGGATATATTTCAAAGTTTTTGGGAACCTTTTAAAATTTAAAAACTAAAATTAAGAAATTTTAGTATTCTTATCTTAGAAAGTATTAAAATTAAAGAATTTTAATTTGCATTAAGTTTAATTTAGTCAAGTGTACTAAAATTCAAGAATTTTAGAGAATACGTGATTTAACAATTTGGGAGTCAAAGTTATATACTTTCATTTTTAAAATAACAAATTTTATTATTCTTATTTTTTTTTGTGTTTTTAGGGATATGTTTCAAAGTTTTTAGGAACCTTTTGAAATTTGAAAACTTAAATTAAAGAATTTTAATTATGTTATCTTAGAAAGCACTATAATTAAGAAAATTTTGATTTTGCATTGAAAAATATTCATGATTTAAAGGGACAACAAACATGTCAAAGAAATATTTTAAGAGTCAAAATGTGTACCTAGACACGATCAAGTTAGGAAAGCGAGGATAAAATGTATTTGAAATAACTTTTTAAAAGTGTTTCTAACATTTATGACTTCTCATAAGTACTATAAAAAAATAATGTTTGGAATAACTTATTTTAATTACATGCAAATAAGTCCAAAGGAGTTTTACCACTTAAATAAGTAAGTAAAAGTAAAAAAAAAAAAAAAAATCTACTTTAAAATCACTTATCTCCAAAATACTTTTTATTTTAGTTTTTTTTTTGTTTGAGCATTCAAAACGATGTTTATTTAACGAAAATATTTTTTTTATAAAGTGTTTTTGAGAAATACTTATTTCAGACGTACTTTTTAATTTTTATAAGTCATCACAAACAAAACCTTAATGACTTAACATTATGAGTTATGTATTTTAAGGCTCATAAGTACTATTTGGTGTACTCCTTCACAATTATCGGGATTTGTTTTGCATCTAAACCAGATTGAACTAAGCCATAATCAAACCAAGCCGGCTATTTGCAACCCCTAGTTATAACTTTTAAAGATCAAATTATATCTTTTTAAGGTGAAATTACAGCTGATCAGAAGATATTCATTATCGATCATTAATTACCTTTTTTTATTTTATTTTTAAAAACTGTAACTTGAGCTAAAAAATAATAACTTTCTGTGCCGTATAGGTATTTTTTATTTTTATATTCTCCTGGCTCACCATCCCCATGGACTGGAACAAGGCTTTTGGTATAGATAAGTAGGTGAAGGCAACAAGAATGACTGCGATGGCCTAAGATTTGGAGATCCTTAAGAACAAGTTGGGTATTAGGATTATACAAGAGCAGGTGACCAGTTGTAGTTTCAACAACGACCTCATCATTCTTCCACACCCCAACTGCTTTCATCATTCCATGAAGCAGTCCGATACTTAATTGCTTGATCCAACATTCCATTGCCTCCTCCTCCCCATCAATACCCACAGGGCAACTGATGACTGCTCAGCTGATTCCCAGGAATCTAATGGCACTTGTGAATGAGAATAAATCAGAGCTATAGAGCCATTGTACAACGCAAGGATCTCGTAGGCTGAGTCTTGGTGAATAAGTGGTGGCCCTTCAATCTCTCTGAACTCCTCTTTCCCCATGTCAAACGAAACTAGCTTTCCATTTGGAGACCACCAGTAATAAACACCATTCAAGTAAGAGTCATAGCAAGAATACATCAAATAATGTAGGCAATAGGGATAGGGAGCATCACCCCTGATAGTGCGAATAAATTTATAGCTTCAACTAGGAGTTTGTGCCTATAAATTGTAAACTCCTTAAATAAGGAAGACATCTCTCACACACACCACACCTTGACCTTGCTTTTTCTTTCTCTCTCTCCTACTACTACCTCCTTTAGTGGTTAGGTCACCCATACCTAATCACCCAATCTTTATTTTTTATCTGTTGTAGTTATCGCTTAGTTTATTAGAATTTTTGCCTTCTTTTTACCGTTCTATTCTTATTGTGACTTTTATTGGTCGACTATATATATGGGACTCTACACTTAGTTTGTATTTCTTTCCGCTCACAACTATTCTAAGTTGGTATCAGAGCCAAACACAAATGCTAACCCTAACCCTAACCTCAACTATACTCAGTAGCCACAACTTCCCGTCCTCGACAGCCAACCAACCAACGACATCAACAAGCAAACCAGTCAACAACCTACCCGGCAAAACCACCCAGGCCAGCACTGAACCAAACCAAACTGCTCAGCCTCCCCTCCACCGACTGCCACATTAGCCTCCATTCCACAAACTGCCTGCCAATCCAATGTTGGTTCTCTTCAAGCCAGTAACAAAATTGAAACTCAAACAAACACAGTGGATTTTTTTGATGCTTGCAAAAAAAATTGCCTACATCATTTTCTGGTTTTTCTCATTATATAAGCAAATACAAAATCATAACTGCACCACTAACATTACAGCCCACGTTTTCTAAAAATAAAACTGCTCAAAATAAATGCTACCCTAATTTTTAGTAACTGCTGAACCTAAATCCTAACTGCCTAACAATATGCATAACGTGCAAGCCATACATAGACAACTCCTGGAGACAACTAGATTAACTCATCAATCTCCTCCTTAAGCTTGTTGTCCTCCACTGACGATCCGCACACCAATTTTCTCTCTCATCTCCAAGAACTTCAATCTTGCAAGTGACTTTGTCAGAATATCAGCACGCTGATCTTCTGTGCAAACATGTTGAATTTCAATCATTCCTGATTCAACACAATCTCTAATGTAGTGGAATCGGGTATCGATGTGTTTGCTCCTCTCATGGTAAACTGAATTCTTGCTTAATGCAATTGCGGACTGATTATCAATCTTCAGAAACACTTTCTTAACCTCGTTTTTTAACAACTCTGCCAACAATCGTCCCAGCCATACTCCTTGACATGCTGCTGCACAGGCAGCGATGTACTCTGCTTCACAGGAAGATAACGCAACCACTTTTTGTTTTTGTGAACACCAACTAATAGGATTTGACCCAAGGAAAAATATTAAACCTGAGGTGCTTTTCCTATCATTAGTATCACCAGCTAGATCACTATCAGAGTAGCCGATCAGCTTCAAGCTTCCTTCCTTCTTTTCATAAACGCAACCGAGGTTTAAAGTTCCTTTCACGTACCGCAGTATGTGCTTCACCGCGGCCATGTGCTCCGTTGTGGGCTTCTCCATGTATCTACTCACCATGCCGACAGAGAATGCCAAATCTGGGCGCGTGTGCAGTAGGTATCTTAAGCTGCCAACAATACTTCGGTACAGAGTTGTGTCTACAGGTGGACTTGTGCTTTCCTTGCTCAGTTTCAGACGAGGTTCCATCGGGATTTGCGAAGGGTTGCAATCTTTCATGCCGCATTTATCTAAAATCTTCCTTGCATATGCCGACTGGTTGAGTGTAATCCTTTGAGAATTCTGACAGACTTCAATTCCCAGATAGTAACTTAGTAACCCAAGGTCACTCATGCTAAACAATTTTTCCATCTGTGATTTGAACTTGTCTATGTCTTGAATACACTCTCCAGTGATGATTAAATCATCCACGTAGACTCCAACAATTAAATTCCCTTTACCTTGATTTCTCAGGTACACAGCATGTTCTAAAGAACACCTCTCAAAACCGAGTGTCCTCAATGACTTGTCCAGTTTTGAGTTCCAGGCTCTAGGTGCTTGTCGCAAACCGTACAATGCCTTGTGCAGTTTCAATACCTTGTGCTCTTCTCCTTTTATTTCAAATCCCGGCGGTTGAATTACATACACTTCTTCTTCCAACTCACCGTTGAGGAAAGCTGACTTTACATCCATATGATGCACCTCCCATCCTTCATGTGCCGCAATAGAGATCAGCAAACGTACCGTCTCTTGCCGAGCAACAGGGGCAAAAACTTCATCAAAGTCTATGCCTTGTCGCTGAACGTACCCCTTTGCCACTAGTCTCGCCTTATGCTTCACGATTCTGCCTTGAGTGTCCTTCTTTAGTTTGTAAACCCACTTTAGACCTATAGGTTTGTGGCTGTCGGGTAATGGGACGAGCTTCCAAGTTTTATTCCTTCGAATGGAAGAAATTTCCTCCTCCATTGCTTTTCTCCACATCGGGTCTGCCTTAGCCTCTTCGAGAGTTGATGGCTCCTCCTCTCCTAGCAAAACCAGTCCCGAATACTCCAGTTCTATTGGGAAGGTTTTATCGTAAAGGCTTTTGATGTCACGCTTACCCCGTGGTCCTTCTGATGAACTCTCATCAGATGTTGTGGGCTGCACTCCTTCTGTTGAGGCCGAACCATCAAAAGCATCAAAAGTTGCATCTGGAGTGTGTGGTGTCAATGAATCGGGGTCTGAAACAGATGTTCTGGATCTCATGTTCATCACTGGTGAAGCATGCTGGTATCGGTTACCAGTTTGTTCCTGTGTCGGCTGTGGGAAATCCATACCAGAGTTACTGATACCAATACCAGGATCGCTGACCGCTACTTTATCTTCCTGATTTGTCGTATCAGATGCGCCTGCTATGGTAAAATAGTGTGCTGCAAGAGTGTTTCCTGCTGATCCTGTACCTGTTACTGGAGAGTTGCTCCACTCCCACTTCTTCTCCTCCTCGAACACTGCATCTCGTGTCACCACAACTCGTCTTGTCGCTGGGTCGAACATTCGATAGCCTTTTGTATTCATATCATAACCAATGAACACCATTTGCTTGCTACGATCAGCCAACTTCGGAATGTGCGGTGTAACTACTTTTACATGTGCAAGGCATCCGAAAATACGAAAATGATCAACATTTGGCTTGCGGTCATAGTATGCTTCATAGGGAGTTTTGCCGACGACGCTCTTTGTTGGTGCTCTATTTAAGAGATATACGGCAGTTGATACCGCTTCTCCCCAAAATCCACCTGGGACTCCCATGCTTTTCAACAAGCTCCTTGCCATGCCGACCACCGTCTGATTTCTTCGTTCAACAACTCCGTTCTGCTGAGGAGAATAAGGCGCCGTGAGATAACGCTTAATTCCCAACAGCTCACAGTAAGTCTTGAACTCATTTGAGGTGAATTCGCCGCCACGATCCGTGCGCAAAGCTTTCAGCTTACTGTTTTTCTCCATCTCGGCTGCAGCTTTGACCTTCTTAAATGCCTCAAATGCTTCGTCTTTGTCTCGGATCAGCACCTGCCACATAAATCTTGTACAATCGTCAACCAACAACAAGAAATAGCGCTTCCCTCCGTGAGTAGCAGGGGTAATTGGGCCGCATAAATCTCCATGCCACAGGTCAAGAGGTGATTCTGCTCGGAAGTTTGTCACTGCCGGAAAAGGATTTCGGTGTTGTTTTCCAATCAAACAACCATCACAGATGCGGTCCTCATGCTCGATTATGGGCAAGCCGTGCACCATCTGTTTCTGACTTAGAGACTTCAAGGCATGAAAATTCACATGCCCGTATCTTGCATGCCATCGCCACGCTTCTTCTTTGCTCCTTACCAGAAAGCATTCGGGTAGAGCTGGTGCTATGTTAAACACATATAACCGGTTGCTTGACCTGTTCACTTTTGCTAGTAGCCTTTGTGATCTGTCCAAAATAGTCATAACACCTCCTTCAACCACAACCTTGCATCCGTTCTCATCTAACTGGCCAAGGCTTATTATGTTGCTCTTCAACATCGGGATGTAGTAGACATTAGTAAGTATTCGATGTTCACCTGTGAAGCCTTCAAACAAAACCGAGCCTCTTCCTTGGATTTTTACAGCCGAGCCATCCCCAAATTTGACTGACCCTTTAATGGTCGTGTCAATTTCAGCAAATTTTTCGATACAACCGGTCATGTGGTTACTTGCGCCGGTATCTAAATACCAAGCCTTCTCTCGGGTGCTTTTAATCTTTGGCACCACCTTGTCTTCGTGCAGTAACACATGCTCGTTCTGTATTGCGTGGCTGAGAACACAAGTTTCGGCCATCAGCAGTGCCGGTTCATCATCGGTTTGTGTTGTAACAAGATTGGCCCTCTCTCTTCGGTTTGGCTTGGGACAATCTTTTGCGAAGTGTCCATATTCATTACAATTGAAACACTTAATCTTGGATTTGTCGAAGTTGCGTGGCTTTCGGTCTTCGTTAGTGCGTTCACCATTTCCTCGACCTCCACCATATCCACGCCCACGACCACGTCCTCTCCCGTGACGTCCTCCTCTTTTATTGTTGCTGAAACCTTCATCTCTCTTTGCCTTTGGGATTCTTGCCTCCCACTCGGCCTGGGTAACGAGTAACTGTTCTCCACTGCCCTTTGAGTGCAGTCGCCCTTTAAGTCCTTCCTCGAAGGTTCTGAGACGGCCGATCGCCTCTGAAACCGACATGTTCTCAATATCGCCAAACTGCTCGATCGTTCCGATAATTTGGAGAAATCTATCTGGAACTGCGCTGAACAGTTTTTCAACAACTTCGCTGTCGTCGAGCTTCGTGCCCAGCGAACGGATCTCACCCACCAGAGTGGTAAGCTTCATGGAAAACTCGTTTATTGTTTCTGAATCCTCCATGTGTAACTTGTTCAGTTGCCGTTTCAGCACCTGTACGCGTGCCTTCTTGACGCGATCTTCACCAACTCGCATCTCCCTGAGTGCGTCCCAAGCCTCCTTTGCCGTCTTCTTCTCCGCGATTGCCATCATCACATCATCTGGCACAGCTTGAGAAATGGCCACCATGGCGCCTTGATCTTTGTCAGCGTCTGTGTCTCCACCTTCGATCACTGACCATACTCCTAGCGAACGCAAGATTATCTTCATCTTGACAGCCCATATGCCGTAGTTCGTTTCGCTTAACGTTGGATATTGGATCGGGATTGAGGCTCCTCTTGCCGTCGGTTTGACGACTGCAAGCGTCTGAGATGGATCTCCTTCGTCACCGGCCATTACTTTGACAACCTGGCTCTGATACCAAATGTTGGTTCTCTTCAAGCCAGTAACAAAATTGAAACTCAAACAAACACAGTGGATTTTTTTGATGCTTGCAAAAAAAATTGCCTACATCATTTTCTGGTTTTTCTCATTATATAAGCAAATACAAAATCATAACTGCACCACTAACATTACAGCCCACGTTTTCTAAAAATAAAACTGCTCAAAATAAATGCTACCCTAATTTTTAGTAACTGCTGAACCTAAATCCTAACTGCCTAACAATATGCATAACGTGCAAGCCATACATAGACAACTCCTGGAGACAACTAGATTAACTCATCATCCAAAACCCAGCAAAAGAAAAAACAGCAACCCAAACTCCAGCTACCCAACCACCAGTCTAGCAAATTGTCCAACCCAAAGTTCCAGACTATAAACCAAACACTAGCCCTTTGCTCAGGCCACAACGTAACCCCAAACACATA